GCCAGTCACTCCATCACAGAAGGCTCTCAGATAGGTCAAGCATGATTTCCCTTTGGTGAATCCATGCTGACTACTCCGGATCCCCTTCTTGTCCTCCACGTGCCTAGTGAGGACCTTCAGGAGGAGCTGTTCCATCACCTTTCCAGGGCTGGAGGTGAGGCGGACAGGCCTGTAGTTTCCTGGCTCCTCTTCTTACCCTTTCTGAAGACTGGGGTGACATTAGCTTTCTTCCAGTCCTCAGGCACCTCTCCTGTTCTCCAGCACCTTTCTAAGATGACGGAGAGTGGCCTAGCGATAACATCCGCCAGCTCCCTCAGCACTCGTGGGTGCATCCCATTGGGGGCCCGTGGATTTGTGGATGTCAAGTTTGGACAAGTGATCTCTAACCCGATCCTCCTCCACCACGGGAGAGTCTTCCTTTCTCCAGACTTTCTCTCTTGTCCTCAGGGTCTGGAATTCCTGAGGACTGGCCTTAGCAGTGAAGACGGAAGCAAAGGCAGCATTCAGTAACACTGCCTTCTCTGCATCCTTTGATATATCCTATTTATATCCTCTATTTCCCTCAGGATTCAGGGATTATTTAGTTGTTGTAATATAGCTAACGACATGGCTTGACTGTATTGAAGTCTAGCAATGTATTTAAATGGAAGTGAGAGGTCACACAGTTTCCATTCATACCAGTAGCCCAGTCAGTTCTAATCTGTATTTTTACATACTTACATCAGTGTACAGCAGCGTAACTATGCAGGTGTTTACAAGAAAATGCTGTGTAGCCCTTTATGTCACTTGGAAGTAGGGTTCTGGTACGGTGAACTCAGATCAGTCTGCATGTGGCCATGTAGGCGTTACCTAAAGATAACTTGAGTATGCATATCGGAAACAATTCCTGAAGAGAGGAGGATTTTATATTGTCATGTTTGGGCTTCTATCCCCTTTTTTAACGCATCCGAAATTTGAGAATCCTTACTGAGGCAAGAAATACTTCCTTACTATAATGTCTGAGCATGAGCTAGAGAGTCCCATTCCTAAAGTAAAATGACCATGACTAGGAATCATTTGGATAAATTCTTCCTTATTTTTCCACTTGCAGAACTAGCGTAGAAGTATCTACCTGACAGAGCAACGCTCTGAAATGAAATACAGATCTATTTCCAGAAGTTTTGCACTCTTAAGAATGTAGGTGTAATATGGGAAGTGATGTCATACGAACTGGATTGGTCTGATATAACTGGAAAGGCACATTAATGGCAGGCAGGAGAATTAAGGTTGATTTTCGTAGGCTGTCTTTTATACTTAGGGCACAGAAAATAATCTGGACTGGAAAATTCTCACTAGTTGTCCCATTAGTCTTCTTAGTCTTCTGTTTGGCGAGTCGTCTCTTCTTTCCCTGTATTTTCTTTTTCTTGGTGATGAGTTGCTTCTGTTACAGACATGTAGCAATGACTAGCAGATTCACAGCTCTGCATCCGATTTCCCTTTAATTCTTACCTCACCCCTTGGATATTTGCTGTCAATTCCAAACAGTAACTTAGACAGAGCTCCCTTTTCTATCCCAGATTCTCTCAGTCCTTCATTTCATGGTGGCAATACAGCCATCCTTCGTAGGAGAAAGCATCCAAGCTCGTGGTTCCTCTTTACTTGTTTACCTGCTACCATGTACGTTGGGGCATTTGGTAGAAATCTTGCCTTCTCAGATTCAGCTTTCCCTTTCTCTCCTCTTTTTCCCCCTCCCATTTTCCAGAGTTTCTTAAAATCTCACTGTGTTGATAACTGCAGCACTTCCTTGATGTTTGCCATGCCAGTTGGGCCCAAGTAATGAGTAGGAACTTGTCATTAACCATTTTATCTTACTGCTGACATTTTTGTAAAAGCAGTAGAGAAGATATTATACGCGTGGTGTTGTACCACTGTTAAGGCATGGGAGCGTTCACTTTCTAGCAGCATTGATGTTATTCTAGTCATTATGCTCCCTAGCCAATTCTAGCTGACAGTATATGTCCTTTGGACTGGTGTGCACATGCTATATGTGTTTACTTAGAGCCATGGAAGACTTTTGAGCCCCTTAAAGAAGTGCTTGGAACAGTTGGAGGAATGTGCCTGACATCTACCATACTTTGGGATGTGACAGGAAGAGCAGAGACTAGCTAAAAGGAGGGATTCCCAAAATACTAGTATATTTCTCATGATACACACATCACAGAAAGGCATCTAACGTGCCATCTTTCTGGCAGAGGAGGAGGTAAAGCCCCGTATACGCTTCTCTTCTGCAAATGTAGAGCCTGGGACAGAATCGCAAACTGCTGTACCCCCGGCCTCAGTGAGATACAGTACAGTTCTATTTCTGGAGGGGTAGTACCCCAGCAAAATAAGCTTGGCAACTTCTGATCTGAGGTATTAGCATTTTATCGTCATTATACTCTTTTGACTCTTATACATGAGCATTGAATGGCCAGTGCATCAAAAAGGGTCATAGTTGCTTAAATAACATTGCCCTTTTGCAAATGAGCAAGTTATGAAAGATGCCTCTACTCCCATGGCTGTCGGCATTGATGCTTCTTTGCGGTATTTTTCACCTCAGGCTCTGCAGTGAAGTCCTTTTGTCAGATAAGCAGTACAGCTTTGCTGTGGTAACTTCTTGTGCGACCTCCTCAAGCACGGGCAGTAGCAGAGCGACTGCAGGCTGATGCAAGTGAGATTTTGCTCCCCAGTGGAGTGGACCTGTCTTGATTGTCTTCATCAGCCCTTCTCTTCCCTCACTCCTTGCCTTTTTTGCACCATTCTTTCCGCGCTGGTTTCCTCTGGCTCCTGGCACAGGATCCTGTGGTCTCAGTGCAAAATATGTGCCCTCTGCAGCAGTTGGTTTCTGCCTCAGTGGGATTTTCCAAGCCCCTGAAAACATTTACTTCCTTCCCTGCACCTCCTCATTCGTATCTCCAGATCAGAACAACGTCTGCACAAAAAATTGGCTTGACATAAGTCTCGTTACGTAAGTGACCACAGAGGAGAGTGGTGAGCCTAACATCTGAACTTGAAGTAAAAGCTTATCTGCAGATGGCAGTGGCCCTTTAAATTGCAGTTCATCAAAAGGGATTCCAGCAGGGGAAAAAAGTTAAAAAAGAATTCCTGTAAAATTAAGAATTACAATAATTTTTTTAAAAAAGAATGAATTAATGTTTACTGTAAGGTTCTTTTTTGACTACAGACTGAACAAGGAAGGAAACAAAACAGTTGAGTTCCCTATGTAAGGCAGCTACTTTCTCTGTGCCTTTCTCTTTCCTCTGTTTAATTCCCAGTACCCTAGAGAAACAGTTTCCTCCCTTAGCAGGGACTGT